GTCCCAGTGGATAGTGCACATGCCTTAGGATATCGAAAATGTCATGAGACGCCTATATTTAGGTACCTGGATACCATCCCAGCAGGACCAGTATCCTTCTGAAAGTCAGTGTGGCCTTTAAAGAGAACATCGTGAAGAGGATCAAGGTAGTTCATTAAAGAAGGGAATGTGGAGTTGTAAATGCAATGCCATGTATCCCAGGATTGAAGAATGTTGGGTCCCTTCTGTTTGAATCCTTCTGTTAACATGTGTTCTGTACTGGAATCAGATCCATTTGGCAGTCATTCCTGTACGTTTCTTTATTTTGTCCGGAACCAGAGCATGTTAAAACCACAGCAACCTTAATAAGCTGCCTGTATTAATTCCTTTTGAAAACAACTCCAGACAGACAAACTTTGATATAAACTACACCGGGATAAATCCAGGCCATGGAAATCAGTGCTGTAGGGGTAATTCAGCTATAACAGATCTTCTGGCTAAAAGGGCACAGCATTTTGCACAAAATAAGGAGGACAAGCTACATGACTTGATAAAGCCATAGAAAATCAAAGTCTGTGCTAGAACTTCCAGGATTTGAATGCAGATACTTTTGGCTTTGGGATCTCAATTCACATTATTGGAGTCAAGAAGGAGTTGAGCACAAGCAAACTGGTGCCTAGGAAAGCCAGAACAGGGTACGAAGCACAAACTAAGCAAACATGAAGCCAAGTGTTTTGCTGGCTTAGGGCTGAATTGTCTCTTATCTTGCAGGATCCTATTCTAGAACAGATTGGGTTGTAAAGATGGATCATTGCAGGCTAAGGAGAGTCTTTGTACTATGAGCAGGTACTTGTGCAGTCATAAATACAATCACTGTGGTTTATGGATGAAATCTAAACCAAAATCTTTAGCGGTCTATTATGTAATCACCTGCTACATAAGTTAAGACTTATTCTGTTAGAAAATAAGGAAATAAGCAAATAAGGAACATGCTGTTTTGCTCATTGGTTTCTGCAACCAGTGTATGTGCACTAGGAAAGAGCATATATGAAAAATCTAAGTATATATTGACTTTGCTACTGTTGTCACCCCTCAGAGACTTCAGCTACTCTTTGCCTTTAACCTCAAATTCCAGAGAGTTCAGATTGCAAAACCTACAGCACCAAATGGCTCTTGTCAACCTAAGTGAACTAAAAGGAGCCCTGGAAATTATACAAGAATTGTGCTATAATCATACGTCCCAGTGTTTCTTTAAGGATTGCTGCAAGTATTGCTCAGAATAAACAAGACTAAATTGCCCATATGACTATTATAAATCGTAGTCACCAGAAATGTAAACAAAATGGGTGCCCATACTGCCCAATATTAAGAACAGAAGTGCAGCGCGTGACTCTCAGAGGCGGCTGCCCTACGCGTCCCGCGCGGCCAGGGAAGATCCAGGCTGCTGCGGAGGGAACTGCAGTCGCTGCGGGACTCCCACTCCCGAGTCACCCCGAAGGATTCGGCCGCCAGCCGAGGTGTCGGGGTTGGGTGCTCAGGGCAGCTGCTGTGAATACCTTGAGCGCTCTGCGTTTTGTGTCGCTCTTCTTGAGCCCAAGTTTTGCTAGTCAATTTTTCAGATGTTTTGCAATGAAAATAGCCATCCATTCAGCGCTCTCATTCTGAGGGCACTTCTGACTATGCTGATGAACAAGTTCTCATAACCTCATTTTTCCAGAGTGGGGGCGTGGAAATTCCAGTGTCTTTTCTCCTGTGGGAGAGGGGTATAGGGCAGTAACCCAGGGCGCCTGGATGAGGGCCGCTGCTCATCGCACAGAGCAGAGGAAGGAATGGGAGGTGGACAGCACGGCAGGAGTGCAGAGCTGGGATTACAGACCAAGGTTAATACTGAAAATAATTTTCCTACCACTGTGGCAGTTAACAGGTGATTGATCCATCTTGGTAGATCTATGTAGAGCTTACAGTTGTGATTTTTGATTCCTTCTGTTAAAATGCAAAGCTATTACATTACTATTAACTTACCATAAACTCCCATGTAACAATATCATAAAAAAGTGCTTGCTGTATTTGTAAATATGCCAGTCTCTAAGATCCATCATCAGAAAGTTTGTTTGCACTGGGCAGGTTGTGTATACATATGCCAGCCTATCTTGCACAAGCTGAAATACCTAATCAAATGCTAAAATACCAGAAATTCAACAAGTGGAAGCTGTGCAACTTTGAAAGTTTTTAGTCATGTCAGCTTCCATGAAGTAGGTTTAAAGCACCAAATTAGAATGCTGCCGTTTCTGCCATTTCAACATGTTAGACCTTTTATATCAGGGTTTCCAAAATGTATTCAAAAGCGTGATATTTGGAGGATGTCCTACTATCAGAGCTGAATTTAGACTAGCAGATATTTACATTAAATCTAACATTTCCAAGTTTGGGAAAATATTTTAGGAGTATTTAATGATATAAATTAATATGGGTTTAGTTGGTTATACATTTCATTTTAAAGAGCTGTTAGAGGAGAAGTTAACTTCTGAGGTGATTATCATCTAGGTGGTGCTTTCCAAAGCAGAGCTGATGGTGTAGGCATATCAGCTCTGAAGTAGGTATGGTCTTAACAAAAGAGCTGATTACTGTGCTGTGCTACTGAAGGAGTGAAAAAGTAGTTTCTCTTGTAGGTGGATTTTTAATCAGACTAATGAGTTGTAAACACTTCAGAGTGCAGTGGAAACTGTTCTTCAGCCTATGTCTGTTAACACAGTTTTGAGATCAGGAAGCATGATATAAAGGATTATGTTGGACTATAGGCTTTTCTGGATGAGTAACATTTGCATTGTTACTTAAGGTAAATCTTGGAGGTTGGCGAGTAAAGAATTAAAGTGAGCACTATTAAAAACTCAGCTGAGTAAAAACGTGTGACAGAATAAAAAGATGATATTTAAGTGTTCATGATGCTCGACAGTTTTTCTCAAAGCAAGTATAGATTTTAAAGGGTCCAGTATCTGGTGAGGATGAAAGAAAAATTAAGAATAAGATAAGGCCACTGAGTGAATGTCTTGCCTTTATTTTCCGTAAGTGTGTGGCATTGACTAGAGGAACAAAGGCAGGACAGATCATAGGAAAAAAACCAGCAAGTATGATGTGGAAACAAAACTCAAAGGTCTTCAAGTTCACGTTGCAAAAACCAGATGATTTCCCTTTCATGACAATGAAAGAACTGGCATATGAAATTGCCGGTCAGGTGGTAACATTTTTGATGAGTCTATCAAAAGAAAGATTCTGCCTTTCACACAGAAATTGTGTTTCGTAAGGGGGAAAAATGATCCATGACTCCTGAGAAGCCACTTGCCCTCAGTTACACTCAAGGCTTTGAAACAAAATTTGGTGGGAGACAGTAAATAAGGTTGTGGATTTAAATGAAAGCAGGGGTAAAATGTGATATGGATTTAGCAAAGACAACTAGTTGCAAACTAACCTTATATCTTTGTTTTCAACAGTAGGATTGTGTTAGAATTAATAAATATGTGGTATTCAGAAAAGCATTTGATGCAGCATCACAGAGGAGATTACTACTTAAATCCTTGGAGGTAGGAATCAATGCAACAATTGTAAGAATGAATAAGGAATGCTAAACCTGACTGGAGCCATCTCTGCTGAAAAATCAGTTAGTAGGATGGTGGGAAGTCATCAATGCTAGGTCTTGACACTTGCCATATTTAGTATTAAATATAACATTAATGGTAAAAAGGTCCAGTGTGCCGGTTGAAATGGGATAGCATCTAATGAAGAAGGAGTGTCCTTGGTGGTGGGCTGATCAGGCTCTCAAATAGAGAAATTGGATGATCTCAAGACCCAGAATGGTTTAACAGTACCATGAGGAATGCCTGATAAAATCCTTTTGATACATGGTAAAATCACATCTAAAATACTAAAAAACTTTCTGATAGTTGAGATGAGAAAGGGTGTGAACTGGTTTTGAGTAAGTTTAGGAACTGGAAGACGATTTCAAAAGTAAGTTTCTACATCAGCCTTCCATTCACAAGGACACAAAACCATGCCTCAAGCTGAAACATGTTTACAGAAGACATCTAGATATCTTCACTGAGAATCACAGGCATTTGAACTCAATGATTCCTGCATTTCCTGCATTCCTTTTTTTTTTTTAATCCAAAGATGAAATCTGCTGCATACTGAAGCCAAAAATAATGTGTAAATATCATTGTTGACGCATTTGCCAGAAGAATCAACAGCAGAGACACTGTATTGGCTTGGATACTGTAATTATGAGATGCTGCAGGAAATTTATTCCACTAAATAGAAGTAGTAGTGTAATTCCCAGAAAATAATATCTAGAGGGATGATAACAAGAATATATTAGACAAATATTTGGAAAACAGATGCTTCTTACTTTCCTTCATTACCATCAAAATGGACACAGTGAAGTACTGTGATTATCTGAAATAAAACCATAGAAATATGGAAATTGTAGCTAGCAATTACATATTTTGTAGCAAATGCAGACAGGCTAACAAGCAATGAATTGCTTCTGCCTCATTTTCTTACACAAATTCAGTCTGCCGTCTTTCTTTTTATAAAAAACCCATCATTCAAGATCAAGATGACACCAAGCGGAGCGTTTTCACCGGCGCTT